GGGGGGGGGGGGGGGGCACAAGAATGATAACAAATATGCCATGTGTAAGTTTAACGAGTGGCACAGGTCAATTCACAAAATGGCATTCAATGGGAAATCATCCATTTGCTAAATTTGATTGGCGTACATTTAGGGCCACTGAAAAAAATATTAGTTGTTTGTCTCAACCTGACAGGTTGGAATATGCAGGTTTCAAGTTGATCACAATTGCTTAAAAGGAGAGCTATGCAGGTCCCATAAAATGCTTTGAATCAGCAAATACTCGAAGTTTGATCAAGTTCTACTTTTTGCTTTTATGGTGAATTAATCTATTTATTGAGTGTTACAGAAAGCAATCAATTTGTTTCTCTATTCCAATTTATTATAAAGTTTTTCAGAACTATTCAAGATCTGAATGCTTACAGTTTCTTGTTCCCTTGTTTACACGGACAAGTTAATTTATAATCGGAGAGATGATTTACTATTCTCAAATCACAAAATGACTGAATACTCACCATTGCTCTGTAAACTGATAATTTTGGATAGCCCTGAATAAATATTCTGCTCTTTTCAACTTCAATATAAAACAATTTTAATTGAATTTTAATAGTATAGTACAACACATACAGGCAAACGTATTATATAAAAAGTGAACGAATATAAAGACTTCATTTAATATGTATATATAAAAACTTTATGATGAGCTTTACTACTAATTCAATAAATAGATGATAATTAAATTGGTTAAAATTAATCAAAGACTGGTAGAAGTCAGTGAGTTAGAACTGAACATTTCAAAAACATACCTTTTACCGTAACTCTATTTACTAACCTTTATTGTCAGTATCTTGTAAAAGTTTTAATTCATCTGTTCTAGACAGTGTCGTCAGGCTAAACGATTTCTTGTCAGATTTCAGCAATTTTTCATATGCCTCTACAGTAACATCAGTTCTTCCTGTTTCAAAGGCTTCAGCCAATGCTTCAAACACAAATTTCAATTGGTCCTTAAACAAAAGTGTGACACATTGAATATCTGATTTATCTGTTATAACTGTATCAAGATATTACCAATAAGTAAACTCCCCATATTTGCGGATTGGTATCTTAAATCGAATTAACAAACGCTAAGATGATTTATCAATTATTTCATGCGCAGGCAGTTAATTCCTGAATCATTTACGGAACTTGATGTTGATATCGACTCGTCTTCTAACAAAAGAAACCCTTAAAACGCACCAATCAATATACACGTACATACTAGTACAAACTTTTTTTATGTGTATCGGGGACACTTATAGTATCAATTTGCACCATTACAATTTCCAATGTAAGTGTTCGATTTCGGCGCTAATCGCAAAATATTCCTGTTTCACATATTAAGGCCCATCGCGATTAGTGGCGCCATCAAACAAATTACTTAACTGGAATTGCAAGAACCACAGATATCTGATTGAATATTGGAATGGTGCAAAACACAAAAAGATCTAGAAAACCTCTTTACAATCCCTTTAACTTGTACTGTTTAAAATTGGAAACTTACAGGAGTTTGAATCATATCTTTTCGTTGTTCTCGCATTTTCTGTACTCGCAATTGTATGTCAATCTTTCCAGTATCACGACCCTCTTTCAACAATGAGTCAATGGCAATATAAGTTCCAGTTCTTCCAATACCAGCACTGTCAAATAAATAGAAATGAACTTTTTAAGATCCTTTGTAAAACAGTATGTCAAATCAGTTGAATATATAGAACATTGTAAAATTCATTAATCATTAATCACCCGTAGAAAAATATTTACCTGCAATGAACTAGGACTGGAGAGTCTGTTGTTTTCTGACCTTCTACATGATAAAGAAAATCCAATAACTGAGATATTCGAGGCACATCATGATCTAACCAGGCAGTGAAATTGAATTGGGTCGTTTTATGAACTTCACCATTCTGAAAATGTGGACATTGCTTAGGTTAGTGTAAAATGGAAAGGAAACATTAGTTACAAGTAAAGTTACAAACATGCCACATTATAATGAAACTATGTGGTACTTATGACGCCAATGTATATTTGTAATAACTAAGATTTCTGATAAGTTTAAATTTGATATGTTTATTAAGGAGTTCTTGACACAATGCATTTCTCAATTTATCAGATAAAAACTGCAGCATGGTCCTCTTCATGTTTTGCTTGTTTGTTGTGTTGGCGTTTAGCACTGTGAAGTCACTCCTTTCGCACAGATCTTGCCTTAATTTTTAAGTTTATAATCGTAGAACAGAGTCTAAGAGCCCTTACGCAAGTTACTTATAATTCCAAATGTAGTGAGAATTACAACACTGGAAGAATTGATAAACAAAAAGATCCTTATATACATAAGTACTTGTAAACCTATAATTATTCATTGATTGTATTAATAATATCAAAATACTATTACCCGGGGCCGTAACTTCATCAAGGCAAATGAGACATAAATAGAAAAAAAACAATTTGTTTAAACAATTAGAAACATAAATATAATATCCGCTAAATATATATAGTGCTTATTTGATGTCTACGTTAAAGATGGTTACCATTTGTCTCCCAAAATAGTTGATGAAATGCAATACATATCAATAGACCCTGGTTACCATTATGGGCTGTATTACAACCTGGTTTGAGTAAAATGTACCATGTGGCATTGTCTTTGACATATTTACCTTTGTATTGATTAAAGATAATGTTCGTTTAACATAATACGAACGGATTGTTTCTTTAACCAATTTAACAGTGATGTTACCAAAGTCTTGTTTCTCTTCCAGTGGCCAGTATCTTTCACATTTATACTGTTAAATTAAAGATCAAAATGATTATCATTAGTGACAATGGACTACTTTTCAACATTTTAGATTTATAAATATATAAACTACCACAGGTAGTTTTCGGTGTAAGGTACTATTTAAAAAGCTTGGAATAAATAGTTTTATAATTCAATCTTTCTAAGATTTTACAGGGTAATCGACTATTTGCAAGTATAGACAACTTACTTACATGCATTAGGACCTATAAATAGATAATTATACCAACCTTTCCAGACTCAATTAGATTTGTTAACATCAACACCTTTTCACATTTCTCTTCAAAAATCATCCGCACAAAATCATTCAGAGTTATTTTTGTTGGTCCTGAAATATTGTATTATATAAAACTGTAATCCTGCATTTTTGGCCTCTATGCACAGTAATATCTGTTCTACATTATACACATAGCAATAACTAATGAGATATATCAACAGTAAAGAGTGTGGCTTTCGTCTTAATCAAGCAATGATAAAGACGAAAGCATCCACATAATTGTGGCCAGTTATTCATATCCCAGTTACTAAATGCCACTCAAGGAAGTGTTCATTTATATGTTGATTAGAAATCAACCGTCTTACCTTGAGCAGCAATGAAATAATTTGGCTGATTATAACTCTGAAAAAGTCAAATATTGTTTAGATTAGTCTTATACCATCTTGGCGAACATCAGTTGGCCTTAAACACATTTGCATCTTTCTTTAGACAACAAAATGAAAAGAAGTGTACCGGAACTCGTTAGCTGTTGATCCAACTTACACTATAGTCATAACTAAGGTACTTCCTATATAATATTCCGGATAATGATCATTAGGTTGGTGGTATTGTTTTGGATATTAATAACTTACATCTACATAACTAGCGTTAATATAATCACTGTTCTGGTCATCTTCAGACTTACTCAATATAACACGGTTGTAGTCATCTAAATAAAATAACGTATACACTAGTATTCATAGTGCCGAGTACAGTATGTTTCTTACACATGCTTTGCAAAAGGTTTATCTTAAAGCACACCTTTAATAACAGTAGTACATGAGATTTTTTATTCTATCTAAATAATGTTTATCATAGCGTTCTTATTATATTTATTTTTAACAAAAATCTCCTGAAAACCGAAGGCGTTATTTCGGGATAGGGGAGATAACATCCTGTAATACATATCAAATTATTAGTTTATTTCCCGTGAATGGTTTTAAATGCATACGAAAATCTCATGGCAGAGGTGACAACAATGAACTACACATTTCATGCCAGTGTAAAAAAATCGTTATTGCAATATCCTCTGCAATTGAACAAGATTTTACTAACATGGATAATAGCCCTTAAATCTATTTTTAGGTCTGTTTTCTTCAATCTGTGAATCTCCATAAGCTGATGTAAATCCTGATGGCAGTTTCTGAAATAAATGAAATAAAGGATAATTATAAATCAAATGATTGTGGATAGTGGAATGGAAGAGTTTTCGATAATCGGCACCAATTTACAATTATAATTATTAATCATCTAAAAGCCAATGCATGATGTCGAGACACTAGATCAAAAGATACCATTTCCTTTGTTTCACATCTGTGCATATTTCTCTCAAATTGGTAAGATTGTCCATTAGCGTTATCCGAGTTTTACTTGAAGATAAACCGTCGAAAAGAGCAATAACAACCATTATGACAGCCGTATGAAATTATTGCTTAAAAGAGTACCTGATATATATCATTAAAACTAGATTTTAAGTTTTTTAATCTGGCAACATGTTCTCTTAATTTTTTAATCTGTAACTCATTAGTTTTAACTGGTGTTTCTAAATTGCAGTAAATATCATCTGAATTGACATTTCCCGAGTCTTGTCCAGTTTTGGTCGTCTTCACATTTTTCGTTTGGTTCACATCTGATCTATGATCCGTTTTCACCTCGGGGTCTTCAATTTCGACACTCTTCAATGGGCCTCTATTCTGTTTGTTTAGATCCTTTCCAACTGCTGAGTCTGGTTTTAATGTCTGGTTTTGATTGTCTACAGGATCCTTTGATTTGTTAGATATTTTCTGTGTCATTGTTTCAGATTTAATGTTTTGTACTGATGCCGAGTTTTCATAGATTGGACCAAGATCTGAATAAGCTATAACGCCTTGTGTGTTTTCTTCTCGTTTATCATAATTATTTTCTTGTTTTCTGAAATAGTATAGTTTATTACAGACGAGTTTGAAAAAGCAAATCTGTAATAAGGTAAGGACCAATTAAATTGGCCAAATGAATCTGGTCTTACCCGTCCATCCACAACTATCATTTATCAAAGTTTCTATAAAATCTTGGCAAAGTCACTCATGTGCGTGTAGGCTAACATATTCACAGTGTTACCAACTTTGTGTTATACCTTGACTACAATAGCCACCATTGATGCATTACGGAAGTTTGTAAATGAAACCATTTGATTTTTATTGAACGCTACCGAATACAACCTATCAAAGGCCTCGACAGAAAGTCTTTAAACATTAAGTCATTATGTTTACAGTCCCCAACTCGGTGCATTCTGTGATACGAGAATGGTGGTTATTGCAGTGAAGGTATAAGACGAAGTATGTAATAGCCTGACATTGTGGAAATGGTAGGTTAGATGATGTCTACTTTATGATGAACGCTACCGAATACAACCTATCAAAGGCCTCGACAGAAAGTCTTTAAACATTAAGTCATTATGTTTACAGTCTTTCTTTCGAGGTCCCCAACTCGGTGCATAATACATACCTTATTTTTCTAAAAACAATAAAGACGATACCAGCCATGATAATAATACATATGACACCCACAATAATACCAACAATAGCACCAAAAGGCATGTCATCTTCTTTCTGTTTAATTCCAACTATATGGGTAAAATATAAAATGTATATGAAAGAACTGGTTTTAAACTATGAACGGTCCACTCCATTCCAAAAGATGGTGGTTTTAGAACTGAATGCTTAATGAAAATGCAACATAAAAATATGTTGTGCATATTACACATGCTCTTAATCTAGTTTTTGTCGGTGTAAGTATACTTACGAACGCAATCAGCATTTTCAAAACCATCCGAACAACCACCATCACAAATACCAGACGTAAAATCACAATGTGTGTTATTTATACAATGTCTTTTATCACAATCATATTGACAGTTCATGCCATATTTTCTTTCAGAACATTCTGTAATGAATCATCAAAAATTAATTATTGTAAATATCATATTTTGAATCTATAAATGGGTTATTATTCATTTGAAACATTTGTGCAGAAAAGTCAAGAAAATAGGTTGAAGGTACGACAGAAAAAGTTAAATTGAACTTTATATATTTTGTAATGCAAATCGAATGTATACTTCCTTTGTAGCTACGAATTTCATTACTTAAGTCTATATACTGGCATTTTTAGAATTGAAAAAAATGTATCTTTTGCTTATCGTGTTTCAAAATCATCTAAAAATACAAGATATAGCTACTATTTTTCTTAAAGATGCTTTCAAAATCTTGAGAATTAAAAGAGCTATTTGTCAACTTACGTTTTGTACAGTCAGTTCCAATATAACCAGGTAAACATTGATCACAAGAACCAGTTTCTGCATTACAACTATCCTTACTATCTCCTTCACTGTTACATTTTCTGTCTGTACAGAGCTTTTTGCAATTCTCACCATAATACCCCTGGTTACATTCTATAAATAAATTAACAATATCAGAGTTTATCGTGCGGACATTATTTGATTGGCGGTAACCTCTTTAGTTAAATTGGTTAGACATTCACAGATTCTTTACTTGAAAGAGAACACTTAACATGTTCGATTGACATTGGCATATTTACAATTTCGTTGGTAATACGCACATAAAATACAATATTGCGGTTATAACCAATGGAAACTGCAATCGATATTGTTACTTACGTTGGGTACAATCATATGCTATGTAACCCTCTTTACATCCATTTATACAGGTGCCATCAGGATTTTCACATAATTCACCAATAACCTCTTTACATTGTCTATCTTGGCATTGTTTGGTACATCCATCTCCATACCACCCAGGAGCACATTCTACAATCAATGACAGAAACTTGTTGCTCTTATCTCCATGGATACATAGAAATGTACGCTCAAACTTTTATCTGAAGTACTAAGGTCCGTAAAGAAGTGAACTATTCACATCACTAATGTTCAATTAAAATTAATTTTTATCGATCTGTATGGTATACTTTAACTAGCACTCTAATATTTTAATAGAAAATTTCATTTTATCAAATCATGTACGTACTGTCCTTTATTAGAACTATCAATGTCATTTTTACTTCAAAAATAACATTTGCAAGCAATCATAGTATGATATAGATAATATCGGTAAGTAATCCTGTTTTTAGTCACTTATCTTCTATCTATACTTACTTTCAGTACAGTCAATACCAACATAATCATTACGACAACCATCGGGACATTCTCCAGTAATGTAATCACAATAACTGCTATAAGTGTTACAATTTCTTTCTGAACATTTCTTGTTACATCCTTTACCATAAAAGTTGTATGAACATTCTGAAAGACAAATATACGTTTTGTCGGCGTTTTTGTCGTCTTTTTTTTTCTAAAAAAAGGTCACCACAGCATAAGATACGATATTTAAATGATATCCATTGATATCCTGAAAATTCTACATCCTTAAAATTGCCTTAGTTTTTTCCGTTTCCCTTATTGCTCATTAAAGTATCTCAGAATCGGAATACAAGATCCATGTCCAGTGGCATAGCGAGGATTGCATTGAAGGAGGTGGCATCCGGGCTCCCTCAGCTCACCTTTCTTGATTTAATAGGGCACTAGATGTGTTGCAGGTCAGGGGGATCCCCCTTTGGCAAATGTATTTAATCCAGGAAGGCGGAGAATACATCCAAAGCGATTTTGGACGTGGAAGTAGAATAAATTTCATTTTTTTAGGGTCCCTATAAGACCACTGTCATGGCATTTATTGTATCGTTTTGTGATTTACAAACATTTTGCATTGCTAAATTATATTAGCAATTAGTCAAATGGATGACAGTATTGACCGAGCTATTACAAATATTCTTTCTTATTAAATTAATAAATTTAGTGGTTTATGAAGAACATTTTAGTGCATTTTTTCTAAAAATGGGAATAAATACTCTGATCGAAATTTGACATAATAAAGATAGCATCCTAATTCTAACCCAGTTGACATTTTCCTAAATATGATTATAAGATCGATGCTTTAACCAAGTCAATCGTGAATACATTTATAAAACAGATCAAATTTACTTGGCAAGGGACCAAGAGTCCAATATTCGGGGTCCATTATTAAT